TTTTACATACTAAAATTAGGTCAGAAAACATGCTAAAATTGATTGCAAAGATGAATTTTCTTAATTATCAAATTGATAGGAAACAAAAGAATAAGAATTCAAGTAACTTTTGAACAAAATTTACTTGATTATATCCTTAGGATATTAATTTTTTAAGGACTAAAGAACTGCAAAGAAATCTTGAGCTTTGCTTAGTTTTATTGTTGATAGTGGTATTGCTATTATTGATACTTTTTTGTGTGTATTGTAGGATAAAACTGTAAGTACATTTGATCCTTGAACAATTTGGGTTTGAAAAGTCCACTTACAGACTTTTTCAATTGACCTGCGCAATTCAAACCCACATTGTTCAAGGGTCAACTCCCATTCGGGAATCCACACGGGCCCATTATAGTTATATGTGGACTTTCAACTGTATAGGTTGGTAACCCTTAACCCCCAGTGCAGTGACTGTCTATTGACATTGTTGGGAACCAGAGTTTTCAGTGTGGCAGAAGGAAGATACCAGTAAAGAATGGAAGGAATTGATTGGGGAGGTATCATTATAAATTTTTAACAAAATCAAAGCTCTGTCCTCTGAAAGAGCTAGAAGCATGACACCTGTAGACCACCAATAAGAATTTAGTACTAACACTCAGCTCTTTCCTTCTAAATACTGCTTTCTACTAAAAGAAACCAGATCTCATTGGAGAAATGGTTGATTTCAGGTTTGGAGCAGGGAAAATACATGGTGAGCCTGGAATATCTTGTGCTCATATTAATAGAGTGATCCAAAGGACCAAGGAGCTAGTTTGAAGGGATTCTCACTAGCCACACACAGGATAATTTGGACATTAAAATGAATAATTGATTTTCTTAAATGTGATAATGGTTTCAGACTGTTCTCATTCTCAGGATATGCATACTGAAATATTTAGTTAACTCTCATGATGTCTAAAACCCATTTTTATTTTGGCAAAAAGGAAATGTGTATAAAAGAAGTGAGCCAGAATGGCAAAATATTAAACAGTGAATCTGGATGAGAGGTACACAGGTATTCTCTGTACTTTATTTCTGTGAGTTTGAAAACTAGGTATATTTTCACAACTGGCAAGGCCTGGGGATCTAGGCTGACTTGCATTTTTTTTTTAAGATTCAAGAAATCCATGGTGAAAGGTTTGGATTCCTATGAGGAAAAAGAGGATGAGGTGATCAAAGAGGTAAGTTAAAGGAAAGGCCTCTGAAGGACCAAGCCCCCATGATCTTATACCTATCTAAGCAGCCTCTCTCCCACAGATGGCAGCTCAGATTCGTAAGGTGGAGCACAGCCGGCAGGAGGTGGTTCGGTCTGTCTTAGAGGTTGGTTTCCCTCGAAGGAACCAGAGCAGTATCCAAATCCACTTATCCCTGGTTCTCCCAGATCCAGCATTTCACCTCCCAGCTCTAAGAGGACACCACACTTCGTCTACTCTGCTTAAATTCCCTTACCTGTCCACCAGGGGGCAGGCCTTGTCAGTGGAGATGTGGGCAGGACTGGGAGGGATGGGCAGTACTCTCCTTATGCCTCTTTCTGGAGGGTGGGAGCCTAGCCTAGGCAGTTAAGCATCCTAGACACTTGTTTTTCCTGAATCAAACTCAGCTTCAGGCAGTGCCAGACCCAGAAGAGGGCTCTTCGGCACCTGGAAGCTGGAAAGGAGCAAACAGGTATGATTGTTATGGAATCTCTTCTTGGAATTTGACATCTTTTAGAGCATTCTGTAACTTTTTGTTTGGGAAATGGGAATAAATCTTATCTTTGCTGTCCTCATAGCTCAAAGACCTCATCTGCCAGCCTGGCTGCTGTTTGTCTTTTTCAGCCAAGTAGCCTCCACCTCACAGCAGCCCTCATACTTGGACCTGCCACCAGCCCCCGAGTTTGATTGGATGGAAACAGGACAGCCTCTGACATTCATTGGCCATCAGGTACAATGGATAAGCCAGCCAGGAAAGAGCCAATTCCCCCTTCAGATCCCGGGATACCCATCTCCTTTTTTTTTTTTTTTTTTTTTAACCTATTCTGACCATTCCTGTTGTCTCTGCAGGCTTTTCTCTTGCTACATTATTCTATAGTATTGTATACCTGAAACAAACTCCCATTATATTCCCAGTAACTGTAGATGCAAATCTTTATCTCCTCTACCTCCCATATCTTGTCAGGTCTATTTTACCTGAGTACAAGTTGGCCTCTGTTCCACCTTGGAACAGTTCCTACTCCCTCATGCAATCCTGTCCCAAACAAAATTATTGCATCATCATCTGCTTATATTCTATACTCCAGCCATATTGTGCTTCTTACTTTTGCACATGTAGTTGCATTGCCTTAAATATGCTTACCTTCCTTCAGCCTTTAACTCAAATGTCATTTTCATGGAAGGCTTATCTGAGGTAGTCTGTTATAAATGGATGTAGTACCATATAAAAAGTTGTCGATGTAATTTGTACGTAATTTTCTTCCCCAACAATATGTATGCTGTGAGAAAAGGTTTTTATCAGGCATGTACTAGGCACATCTTCACTATTAAGACCATGACTCTCTTGAGTATAGGACATCCAATGATTTACTATGCTTTTAAGATTTAACATCAGTGGGGTGCAGAATTAGCATCGTGGCACTGGTTCCATCCATCTCTATTAAGTTTGCCTTTTCTAGCTATGAGTATCCTATCATCTGGCTTTCTTATCCAGGATTTTTTTTCCATTTCCAACTACAGGACACACCAGGAGTTGGTAACATTCACTCAGGTAAGGAAAGCCCATGGCAGTATTTCTCAAACTGTGATTTATTTTTTAAAGTAGATTAAGATAAAGTATTAATGGCAATCTCGATGTCCATCAGCAAATGGATAAAGATGTGGATATTCAGCAATAGAAAATGAAATCCTGAGACATGGATATACCTAGAGGGTGTTATGCTAAGTGAAGTCCGAGAAAAGACAAACGTATCATCTCACTTATAAGTGGAACCTAAAACAAATGAACAGAAATAGACACACTGCTATAGAGAACAAGCTGATGGTTGTCAAAAGGTAGGAGGGGGATGAGAATTTAAAAAAAAAATCACTGTCTAATAAAGGACTTGTATCCTGAATATATGAAGAGCTCTCAAACCTCAAAGGCATATAAAAAAGATGTTCATGAGAATGGCTAAAATTAAAGACTGACCATGTCTGTGGAGGAAGACTCACTGCTGGTGGCAATGTAAAATGGCACAACCACTTTGGAAAACAGTTCAGCGATTTCTTAAAAAGTTAAACATTATGATCCAGCCATTCTAAGAGAAAAGCAAGTCTATCTACACAAAGGCTTATACACAAATTGTCATAGCAGATTTATAGTACCAGACAAATGAACAATGGAATAGTACTCAACAAAGGAACTATTGACACGTGCAATAGATAAATCTCAAAAAAAAAAACCCTGCTGAAAGAACAAAAAGAGTACACACTATATTCCATTCATGCCTCAATATATCAAATATCAGCATACCACATGTAAGGTATGTTGCTTTAAATTAGCCTAGGTACCTCAACTTCCCATGGTCCATAATTCCTGGACTTTTGAACATTTCCAGTTCTCAGGTAAGAGTTTAGAGCTAGGTCATATTTCACAATAGCCTGCAAGTTAAAAAAGTTTTTAAAGTGCCTTATTTTTTGTTTAATGGGTCTTTTCCAGGTGCCACACCTCCTTGGATGGTTCAAGATGAGTATAGCTCTTGGAATCAACAAATAGGACCTTCCTATGAAGAATTTCTTAAAGAGAGTAAGTAAACTAAATCAGGAATGGCATTGGGTTCTTTAAATCTCCCTACTCATAAAATTATTTACTTATCATTGTAGAGGAAAAACAAAAATTGAAGAAACTCCCCCCAGACAGAGTTGGAGCCAACTTTGATCACAACTCCAACACTAGTGCAGGCTGGCTGCCCTCTTTTGGCCGGGTTTGGAATAATGGACGCCGCTGGCAATCCAGGTATGGGTCCAGGACCCCAGCCCACCACTTCCCCCTTTGGAGATCTCACCCTGTCCTGTTAACCTTTCACTTCCTTTCAGGCATCAATTCAAAACTGAAGCTGCAGCAAGAAACAGTCACATCAAGAAAACAATCTAATGGTTTCATAACTTATTCAACCAACTTAAGAAACCCATACCCTATAATCCTTGTAAACTGCCCTTAGAAAACAGACATACCCACTTATTTGATGTAATAAACTTTTATTTTTCAAAATGTACAGTTGGTGAGACCTGTAAAAAAAATTGAAAAAAGAATCAGTATAGAGCTTTGTAAAAGGAGACATACACTTCCTACACCATGATCTCTTACCTGTTGTTCATGCATCTTCACCAGCAGCTGGGGCATCTCCACCCTTGGTGTTTCTGGTGTAAATTACTTGAGCTCTGTGCTTTGAAACTAATTTAATAAGCCCTAAGAAAAAAGGGTAAGGTTTTCATAGTAGTACTATGAGATACTTAACAGACACTAGAAAGTGAGTTTTATATCACTCCCCAAAACATATGCTGAGTAACAAAGACATGTCTACAGTTCTTGACGATAATCTAATTTTACTTATCCTTTCTAATGAGGGGCCCATTACCTGCTCTTGGGATGGCCACCCTCACACTTTACTATAAAATCCACTATATCCATATGAGGCACCACAGACAGCTTCAACAAACTGCCACAGAAAAAATGGCTGCTTGAGAGTCTACCCTAGGGGTGACATGTTAGAATTATATTATTAACCACTGGTCAGCCTAAGCATATTTTTAAAAATTCCAACAAAAATATTTAAGATGGCTAACATAATTAAGCCAATTTAATGTGCAAACCATACCAGAATATACCCCTCTCACCTTTACTAAGGAGCTCCTGAAGGGCTGCCCTGGCCAAGGAGCCTCGGATCTTCAGTCTCTCAGAGACAACAGCTGGGGTTATAAGCTTATAGTTGGGAACTTCCTTACAGAGTTTGTCATATGTCGCTTTGTCAAACAAGACTAGGTTATTAAGCTTGTCCCGAACTTTGCCTTTGGACCACTTCTGCTCACAAAAAGGGGAAAAGAGTGTTACTGGAAGAATCACTTTCCCTCCCAAACACTGTCAGAAAAATCTCTCTTGTTAGTAGGGCAATACTGAAAGGTGGCTCTCTTCCTTGGCCTGTGGAACCTTACGAAACTAAAAATTAACAAACTATACAAATTAAGCTTCAAATAATTAGAAAACCAAGATACAAAATAAGAGACCCTGGTTACCCTTAATGGCATCAGATAAATTAGACAGAAAATAGTATCTTTGAGGCTTTCCAATATGGATGAGCGTCATAGGACTAATTATGTGCTAGGCACCAGAACAAATGCTTTATAGACATTTGTTTAATTTCCAAATAGTAGGTATCGCCCCATTGTCCAAATGAGGAGAAAAAGTGAGAATGGTGGTGAAGAGCATAAACTTTGACGTTAAAAGCCGTTTGTTATGTACATCACCTATTACTATAGCTATGAGACGGGCGCCCCTACTTTTCCCTCACTCTTAGAGGGCCTCCTACCTTCTTTTTGGCCTTGCCCCCAGATTTGTTCACTGGGTCTTTGTCCTTCTTGGCCGACTTTCCGGCATCTTTCTTCTTCTTGTCGTCTTTGGGCGGCTGTTGAAGAGAAGCGGGAATGGAGCCAGCTCATAAGGCAGCCCCATGCTCCCCCTACTACTGCACTCAGCCTAGCCCGAACTCCACTAACAGAGCACATGGATGAATACCCCTCCTGCCTTGAGCTGTAGCACGGCAGTTCTGGGAGCCCTCCCTCCGATGGAGCCTCAACAGTGCCCTAGCACTACCCGGCTCTCAGAACCGCGCCGGCTTCACACCGCTGAGCTTACCATAACGAATTTCCGAAAGCTGTTGCTACCACCGCAGCCTCGCTAAGATGTCGGACAAAAGGAAGCGCTGCTCGCGAACAGGCCCAGAAACCTCCACTCTCGGCGAGTGCTTCCGGGGTAAGGGGCGGAGCCCCGCAGAGGACGTTCGAGGGCCCGCCTCTGGCTGAAGCTAACAGACGGAGGCTCGCGTTCCTTCTCTGCACGCCCTTAACATAGTCCTCGCCTTACTCGGCTTTGTCACTAGTTGTGAAGCAGTCACACGTTGCTATTTCTTAGCATTAAGAACCTGGAAAGAAAGACGGAAAACAACCTCCCGCGTCCTGGCAACTGGTTTTCCAGCGTTACACCCAAACGTGTTGCCTCACGTGCGCAAGCGCCGCAGTTGGCGGCGCGTCCGGGCTGGGAGGGGGAAGTGAGAGGTTGGGGGGTGGTTCCGTGACTGCAGTTCCGGGGCAGGGCCGGGCCAATTTCCAGTGTCTGAGCCGCGGCAGCAGCCATGGCGATTTTCAGTGTCTACGTGGTGAACAAAGCTGGCGGACTGATTTACCAATTGGACAGCTACGCGCCACGGGCCGAGGCTGAAAAAACTTTCAGTTACCCTCTTGATCTGCTCCTCAAGCTACATGATGAGCGTGTACTGGTTGCTTTCGGCCAGCGCGACGGAATCCGGGGTGGGCTGTGCTCGGGGGCGGGTCCGGTACTGCGGAAGTAGGCTGGTGTCTCGTAGCAGAGGGCGAGGGAGTGGAGCCGGTTCCCTTATTCTTGGAATCTGCAGGATGGGGCTTCCTTGACCCTTGCCTCCCTTTGCAGTGGGCCACGCAGTGCTGGCCATCAATGGCATGGACGTGAATGGCAAGTACACAGCCGATGGGAAAGAGGTGCTGGAGTACCTAAGCAACCCTGCTAACTACCCGGTGTCTATTCGATTCGGCCGGCCCCGTCTCACCTCCAATGAGAAACTCATGTTGGCCTCAATGTTCCACTCGTAAGTCCCCCAACGCTACCTAGTGCCTATTGGCCTGAATTCGGCTCTTAGGCCGGCTGGGTTAATGTGGTTCTATGGGCAGTCTCCTGAGCGGCAGTGTGTACCTTTCTCAGCCTTTTAAATCGTCAGTTTTTGTATTATGAAAAGAAAAAAAAGAACTTCAATATGTTTAGGTTTTAGGTAATACTGGCAGTGGTGTGATCTTGCTTAAGTCAGCTCTTCGAGCCTTACTTTCTTCATCTTCATAGTAAGGCATTTGAACTAAGTGATCTTTAAGATCTTTTCCTGCTTTCCACTACGGAATGAGATGGGTATGCATAGCCTTGGGGTAAGTAACCGTGGCACAGTGTTAATTTTACCCAAAGTTTTCTATGTAATATGTTTTATAGCAAAGTATAGATGTACAGCAAGTCCTCATTTAACCTCTTGGATAGGTTCTACAACTTTAAGCAAAAGAAACTACAGTTATCACTTGAACAAGGAGGGGATTAGGGGCATGACTCACACATATAACTTTTGACTCCCTGAAAACAACTACAGTCACCCCTTGGTATCTGCCAGGGATTGGTTCCAGGACTCCTGCAGATACCAAAATCTGTGGATGCTCAAGTTCCTTATATAAAGTGGTGTAGCACAATCTGCCTTCTGCATCCAGTTCCCAATCACAGGTCAAAAATAGTGTTTTTGATCCAAGGTTGGTTGAATCTTTGGATGCAAAACCCGGGGATATAGAAGGCTGACTATATTTATGGGGCG